GGAAAGAAGAATTCCCACCCTGGGGATTATTTCTGAAGTCCTAGATCGGGGGTATATGGTAAGGAACTCTGAGAAGCTGGGATTTTTTGTGGGGCTTTTTAGCAAACTGGGGGATACAGGGAGCAATACCTTTTCAAATAAGCCCTGTTGCTCAGAGCAGATAACCAAGGGCTTTGCCGTGAGGGGCTCTGCTGAGTAGGGCTTTCTGTAGATCATGTTTTGAGAGATTCTCCACCTTGCATTGTATTTTACACCTTAATGGAGAGTAGGGACCACCTGCCCACTTCATTTGCATGGAGACTACCTTTAGGTAATTTTCTTTGGCTATTTATAGGAAATCTTGTAGGTCTTCATTCTGTCTTTTTCTCTGTAAATGTGGACGTCTGTCCCATTTTGTTTGTTTTATTCATGCTGTTGGCAAAGAATCAGTCACATCCAGAATTTTGGTTCTTGTCAATGAAGCAGTTCCCGTTAAAGGTATAATTTTATAATTTTATCAGAATGTAAGCATGTTTTTTAAAAAGAGAACATTCCAAAAATATTTGTAGTGGGTTTTCTGTTTGGTTTTTGTTTTTCGCTTTTTTTTTTCTCTTTGTGTTCCTATAACACATCGATTAAGAAAACTCTAGAACTAATTTTACAAAACAGTTTTTATAAGCCACTAAAATATTCCAGCATAGTTTTAAAGATTAAAAAAAATTCTTCCCTTGCAGCTGGCTCATTATCATTGTATTCATAGTATATCATGTAAAAATGATACAATGAAATGCTGATGTGTGTTACTGGGAAATCCATGTTCTTGGTGGCAGATGAAATACATTATTCAGAGCCATCTTGTGGATTAAATAAATCCTCTCCGTCTTTTGTGTTCCCTTACAGCGGTGGAGGCACAGTGTTAAAGAGCAGAGGAATGATCATTTGGCATTTAGCTTCCACCATCCACCAGAAAATTAAGTGGGTAAAGATGTGAAATCCAGTACATTTTGTAATTTAGAGAATCCCTATAGTATTTGCTGTAGAATTCACTGTATTTTTCTACAAGTTAGATAGATGTTAAGTAGGAAAGTAAATAAATAAATAAAGAGAAAACAGCCCTAAGAAGGCCTTTTATTTCTTGCTTGTGAGACCCAGAAGTGCGTAGACTGGAACTACTCTTCCCTTTACAACATGTGGCCAACGGCTCAGAGAGGAAGGTAGAGTAGCCAGTGGTAGAGCTGAGATTAGAATCCAAGTCTCCGACTTGAAAATACAGTTCTCTGTCTTGTTTGTTTGTTCTGGTTAGCTTTTAGGCTTCAGATTTCAACTAGCCTTCGTTTTCAAGTAGTAAGTTAAATGAGATTCTTTTGGTAGTCCCTATTGTTAACAACATTCGGAAAGTAAGACTTATGTTAACAATTTCAAAATATAAACCTAGAAATGCTGTCCTTTCTTTAAAAATAAAAAAAGGAGGAAAAGTTGGGTTTCCTCTCTTCCTCTGCCAAATACCCCTGTGGTGTGTATTCAGTGCCAAAATGCAGTGTGGACATTTGTTTATCTTAATTATTCTTTGTAGCAGATATGAAGCAGTTAAGACACAGGGTGTTTTGGAAATACAAATTTATATGCTTTGGTTACTGACAGATTTTATCTGTAATCCTTTCAACTAGATTGGGTGATGGTGTCTATGATACCTTCATGATGATAGATGAAACCAAATGCCCACCCTGTTCAAATGCACTCTGCAATCCTTCTGAACCACCTCTACCCAGAAGACTAAATGTAAGTAAATGAAGTGATTCTTTGAGCTCTAATGGGCCTGGAAAGGAGGAAGTGCTACTTTAAATGGTCAAGGTACAGTTACATCTCACTGGTGACCCAGGCTCTTTTATTCACTTTTGGTTTCTCTTGACTTTGAAATAACAATTTCTGTGGTCCAAGTTCAGCTTTTCAGAATGATTTTGATTTGGAGCCCACCTATTCCTTTCAATCACTGGGGTAAACAGGGAAAAAAAACGACATGCTACTTTTATCTAGATAGTGGTTATTTTTTTTAATAGAATGATATGTACAGTATATTATGATGGCTCATTTTAACAAGAACAAGAAACAGAAAATACTTCTGAACTTACAGATCTGCAGATTTTTCCTGCACGGTAGAAATGCTGTCCTAGCTTATTAGTATGCTTAAGAGAACCATTTTATAGATCATAAATAAAACTTGAACAATACATTTTGGTTTCGATGCATTTAATCATTTTGGAGCTTGCAGACATTTAGCTTTTGACACCGTTTTACGTTTAAGAGAATAAATTAATTCCCATTCCCTCGGCACTCATAGAGTGGTAGGGAGAGCAGGGTTTGGACAAGTTCCATGACAGGGAGAATCTCTCCTGTGACTTTAAAATTTGCTGCATATATCATCAATGAACAAACTGAATAATTGAGTAGACTAATTTATCAATAATTCTCCTTCATATTTCTGTTGAAGACCTAAAATTATTTCTATGTAAAAAACTGCTTGCATTTTTCATAGTCCTTCCCAACGGTTTGTCAGCTTTGCCATTAAAAATCAACCCCTTCACTACTTTCAAGGCTAATAATATTACAAAATACGGGCTACATATATTTGGAAGGCTGGTCACCCTATTTTTAATCTCCTTTCTGAAGTGCAGTAAGTTTCCATTCTCCACAAGCTTATTTTTTTTAATATGTAAAAACCTCTAAGAGCTCCAGAACCACCTATATACTCCTTGTGTCGACTATCAGATTTCTTGGTTACTTGCTGACAATTAGCACATCTCTCTGGGAAACTTTTACAGTCGGTCATCATGTGACTTAAAGTCCATTTTAACTTTACTTCAGAGTTGGCCAGTGCTAATCACCATATAGTAGGGCAATTAAATTGTATGTTTCAGGATCAAAATGAATTTTTTTACTGATGGTATTCAGAGTAACACAGCTTGCAAAACACAAGATTTTAGATTCTAAACCAATGGTGTCTTTGCAAATTTTGCTGAAAAAAGTGCTTTTGACCTCTTAGTAACACTTATAGTTCATTATGCCACGACTCCATTGCGAGAGGCTATTGCTCATTTCACAGAGTCCTTTGGCTTCATTGTTTATCCAAGATGCCCTTACATTCTTGTTGTAAACTATAAATCATCTGCTCATAGGCTTTTATTGGGTTAGCTTTGTGTTGCAGAGATTTAGGGTGGAGAGCGAGGGAGAGGGTGGTGTTCTATATCTGGACGAGAAGGATATTCCTTTTCTGAATTTCTCAGCAAGATCTTTAAGACTTGATTAACACAGTTGAAGATTCTATTTGAAACGTCGAGAGTGCTCCAAATTGATCAACTTGGTGCTTTGTGACCACCTAGAGGGGTGGGATAGGGAGGATGGGAGATGCAAGAGGGAGGAGATATGGGGATATATGTATATGTATAGCTGATTCACTTTGTTATAAAGCAGAAACTAACACACTATTGTAAAGCAATTATACTCCAATACAGGGGTGTTAAAAAAAAAAAGTGCTCCAAATTAAAAATGTATATGAAGCATTCTTAAATAAAACATGATTAATCTGTCATTATTTGTCTCTCTGGATATAATTACAGTTAAAATATTTGAAGTCGATTGCAGACATTGGTCAGTTATTGTGATTATAACCCTAGACTAGAAATATATAGTGTTTTGTAACTACTTTAACATGTGTGAAAATTGTAGATTCTCCTAGAACAATGGGTGGAAGATTTTATTTATAGCACAGCAGACTTGATACATAATTGATTCAGACCAGTATTTGAGTTATTACAGGAAAGGAAAGAAAGCTAAGGTGAGAACCCCTCCCTGTGTGGAAAAATTCCTTTCTGGAATTCTTCAGATTCGTTGGAGGTTCAAACCTTGACAGTCCACAGGGGACTAGACCTGAAGTGTCTTGTTCTGTTCTGGGAGCCACACTTGCAGAGCGACATAACGTGCAGCCCATAACGTGTTGAGAACGTGAATAGGATATAGTAAGGCAGCCTGACCCAGGTTGCGTGAGGTGGAGGATGTGATGGGGATGATTAGCCTAGAGAAAAAGTGGTGAAGGCAGGACAGCCCCTTTTAGGCATCTGAAGGGCTTTAACATGGAAATTTGGACACTCCTGTGTAGTTCCGGAGGGCAAAATAAGACTTAATTTGCAGAGAGAGAGATTTAGGCTCACTTTAAGAAAAAACCATGAGTCAGGAAATTCAAATGGCATCCTTAATCTTATTGTAATAATACTGTGGAAATTCTGTTCTTATTAACATTCTGTACCTGAGACCCTCTCTTTATCACAAACAGAAATGAATACCTACAGAGCCAGCACAGCCTTACATGTAGGCAGAGTAGGTGAAATACCCAGGGGTGGACCCTGGACCACAAATACCTTTCCTACCATTGATGACTGCGGGTCCTAGAGAGTCATTCCCTTGGGTTAAGGCATTGATTTTGTTAAAGGGCAAATATCTCTGGAGAAATAACCCATTAAATTGCATGGCAAGTTGAAAGGAGATTTTATGTGGGGGAGAAAGTGGGTGAGGTGTTTCCATGCATCCTAAGGGAAGGCTGATTGTGCAGGCCTTCATGGAGCAGAAGGCATAGTTAATGCCAGATGTCTGGTGGAGGGAGTCTGGAGCTGCAGAGGAAGGCACCACAGAGAGAAAAGCTAAGCTAAAAGGGGAAAGGGAGGGTGTATTGGAGTTTAAACGATATATTGAGAATTTTGCCTAATTGTTACCAGTGTTTTTAACATGTTTTATAGTTTCTGAGGGTCTTTCACATATATTATTAATTATAATTTGATTCACACAACATCCTGCAAGGAGGTATTATTATCCACATTTTAAAGATAAAGAAATTGAGGCTAAGAAACTGGGCTAAAGGTTAAGCCTACCCTGGGACCTACAGTTTTTGAGCAGTGTGGCCAGGACCCCAACCTAGGCCTTCTGACTTCACATTTCTTCAGAATGTGTCCCCAAGACTTTAGTAGTAAATATTTAGATGCATTTAGGTTAGGTAGTAAAAATTTAAGGAAAACTGGTTTAGATGCATGCAAATATTTGGTTTTGTTATGTAAATCTACCTAAAACCAAATAATTATAATTCCCTAGTTCAGCCAAACCTATCTCCTAATAGATTGTAGTGCCTTGAGGTAACCTGTTTTTTGGCACTTTTATAATTGTGAACAATTAGTGCTCATGTGAATGTTAGATGGATGGATGAGACCTTTTTTTTTCATCCCTAAAAACAGGAATGGTTATTTGACTTCATTGCTGATAAAAAAAAAATGTTGCATTACATTTACATTTTAGCAAGGTATTTCGGTTCTGTCTGCAAGCCTGTTTTATTTTCTTGACTAATGATAGTTCTCTATTTTGGTATCAGAGATCTCTCCTGGTCCGTATCTTGCCTCTTTATTTAGAAACTCAATGCCAAAGTATGGCTACCGTTGTACTGGCTGCTTTGCTTATATGTAAGATGGTACAGTGCCTCATTTTTGTAACTGTAGTACTATATAAATGTTTAAATTGATTAAATGACCTAAAAGAAGCAGGCAGGAACTAATGTCATGCTTTTATAACTAAATTAGGGGCTGTCTAAAGTATGCCAACACTTAATTTTTTTTTTCATCCCTTTTTTGTTTTTTATGTTTTCATCTTCTATATTTTTATTTATATAGGTGATGGGTCAGGTGTTGTTTGCTTAGGTTATATTAAAATTCTGCTTTTTAAATGGTTGGCCACTTTGGATCATTACCTTATAATTTGTGTTATATTTTAAGAGATCATAAATGTAGCTCAGAGCTTCTCTGGAATTATCTACCCCTGATCATAGAGGCTCTCAATCATACAGATCAGGGGTACAGTTATTCAGGGTCTGTTAAGAAAAATAGTTGTTCTTTGAAGTATCCCAGACTTTTTTTTTTAAACAACAGATTTAGCACTTTTTTCTTCTTTCCTTCTAGCACATTTTTATATTTTTCTTAGTATTTTTTTTAGTGTTTGGCTTTTTCGTTGTCTTTCCTCCATCGAGTTTCAAAGAATCGTATTTCATTTCAGAGGTATTTAATAAGCAGAGTTTTCTTCTGTGGGTTATTGTTCCTTGCAGGAAAAGGTGATGCCAAATCAAGTAAAAAGAGTTGTATGCCTTTGTCATGTAGGCTTTTGTTGAGGGAGACTAGTGTATGTGACTATGAGCAAGGGAGGGAGAGAGAAAGAAGACTCTTTGTCTTTAGGAGAGTTTTACAAGAAACACCCTGGGGCCTTAGATTCTCACTGCTATTCATCAGATGCATAAAGAATTGGCCTTGGTGATCTCAAGAGTTCTCTCTGGATTAGAAATTTTGTGATTCAATGGACTGAGATAGAAAGATGCGATCATTTATTTGGGGACCCAGGAGTAGATGATGAGGCCTTGGTTGATTCCAGGCCAAGGTCAACATTCAGCCCTACTGGAGAATAGTACAGGCACTAGGAGAACCTGGTACCAGATTATGTTAATGTTCTGGACCAAGATTCAGAAGACCTGGGGATCACATCCTGTCTCTGTCATTTACAGAACACTTTAATATGTATTAATTTGCTTCTGGTACATGCCCTTAAGATTTGGGAAGATACTTGAAACAGTTTGTAAACAGTACAGGACAGTATATCTATAACAAGTGCCAGATTACGTGGTAGACTCGAAAAGCTGCAGTTAAGATGTGAGTGGAGCCATAGTTAGTATGGGCTTGGAGTAGTTCTCAGTGGAAGAGGGAGGACTAGAATTGGGCTTTGAAAGAGCGTAGGATTTGAGTGGATGGGGTGAAAAGATTCTCGGTAGGAAGACATACCAGTTAGAAGGAGTCTAGCATGTTTCCGGTATGGTAAGATGACCGTCTTGTTTTGAACAAAGGGAGGCCTATGTAGCGGGGTTGGGGTGGCCATAGCAGTCAGGGAACCTAAGGATTAACATAACACGAGTTTCTAGAGACTCCTGCTTTTCTTATCTCACTTTTGGGTCTTTTAACTACACAACTGGCATGTTTTGTTGTTTTGTTCAGTCAGGGGGACGATTCTTTCATTCTTCCACCATTTTTAGTGACTTTAATATAGATTCACTTCTCTTTGCCGTAGATCACCACTGAGCATTTAACAAGAGATCCTACTCAGCGCTTTCTGAATGGAGGTGAGATGAAGGTAGAACAACTATTTCAAGAATTTGGCAGCAGAAGATCTGATACTTTTCAGTCAGATGGCGTCAACAACTCTGAAAAATGCTCTCCTACAGTTTCTCAGGGTAAAAGTTCAGATAGTTTGAATACAGTAAAATCCAGCAGTTCGTCCAAAGCATCCAAAGTGTTGCCTCTGACTCCAGAACAAGCGCTGAAGCAATATAAACACCACCTCACTGCTTATGAGAAGCTGGAAATCATCAATTATCCAGAAATTTACTTTGTGGGTCCAAATGCCAAAAAAAGACAGGGAGTTATCGGTGGTCCCAATAATGGGGGTTATGATGATGCAGATGGGGCCTATATTCACGTGCCTCGAGACCATCTAGCTTATCGATATGAGGTGCTGAAAATTATTGGCAAGGGCAGTTTTGGGCAGGTAGCCCGGGTCTATGATCACAAACTTCGACAGTACGTGGCCCTGAAGATGGTACGCAATGAAAAGCGCTTCCATCGCCAAGCAGCCGAGGAGATCCGGATTTTGGAGCATCTTAAAAAGCAGGATAAAACCGGTAGCATGAACGTTATTCATATGCTGGAAAGTTTCACGTTCCGGAACCATGTTTGCATGGCCTTTGAGTTGCTGAGCATAGACCTTTATGAGCTCATTAAAAAAAACAAGTTCCAGGGTTTTAGCATCCAGTTGGTTCGCAAGTTTGCTCAATCCATCTTGCAATCCTTGGATGCTCTCCACAAAAACAAGATTATTCACTGTGACCTGAAGCCAGAGAACATTCTCCTGAAACACCATGGGCGCAGTGCGACTAAGGTCATTGACTTTGGGTCCAGCTGTTTTGAGTACCAGAAGCTTTACACATATATCCAGTCTCGGTTCTACAGAGCTCCAGAGATCATCTTAGGAAGCTGCTACAGCACGCCCATTGACATATGGAGTTTTGGCTGCATCCTTGCAGAACTTTTAACAGGACAGCCTCTCTTCCCTGGAGAGGATGAAGGAGACCAGCTGGCCTGTATGATGGAGCTTCTAGGGATGCCACCACCAAAACTCCTGGAGCAGTCCAAACGTGCCAAGTACTTTATTAACTCCAAGGGCCTACCTCGCTACTGTTCTGTGACCACTCAGGCAGATGGGAGGGTTGTGCTTGTGGGAGGTTGTTCACGGAGGGGCAAGAAGCGGGGACCCCCAGGCAGCAAAGACTGGGGGACAGCACTGAAGGGGTGTGATGATTACTTATTCATAGAGTTTTTGAAAAGGTGTCTTCACTGGGACCCCTCTGCCCGCCTGACCCCAGCTCAAGCACTAAGACACCCTTGGATTAGCAAGTCTGTGCCCAGACCTCTCACCATTGAAAAGATATCAGGCAAAAGGGTAGTAAATCCTGCAAATGCTTTCCAGGGCCTGGGTTCCAAGCTGCCTCCAGTTGTAGGAATAGCCAGTAAGCTTAAAGCTAACTTAATGTCAGAAACCAGTGGTGGTATACCTCTGTGCAGTGTATTGCCAAAACTGATTAGCTAATGGACAGCTGGTGTGCTCAGAGATGATATGTAGGTATTTTTAATTATCTTGCAAACCTGAAAATGGAAAAAAAAAAACCAAGCCCGTTCATGGATATGGTTTTGGTAGACTAGATATCTTTTTTTAACAAGGCAAAGCATTTTTATATGACTGTAAAAGAACTCTTGAAGGGCTAATTACCTAACCAACTTGTATTGTCCATCCTGGGATACATAGTAAAAGGCTTTTTATAGGTCAGTGCATCTTTTGTTATTATTGTCAGGTGTTCATCAACCTGTGTATTATTCTGTTGGTTTAAATCCCTTTCTCTCAAGGTAGACGATATACCAGAAAGTATATCCTGAACATTCACTTCTAGTCTCCCTTGGCATCTGTTGCAGAGGGTTAATTTGGGACATGGCTGTAGTTATAGATGAGACTCAAAGCTAGATCTCTGGTGCCAGCAGCCTGTCCTGTGGGCTCATGCTAGGTGAAAGAGCTCACAGCAGAGTATGGGGTGGGGGAAGCTCCGGGAAGCTGTGGGTCCCCTAGAAAAATCTTGTCACTGCTTCCAAGTGGCTCATTTCTCTGCCCTTCAATTCGGTGATGCATGGTGTTTTTATTGTATGTTGTCGTTATTATTTTTATTTTTTATTATTTTGCCACTGGTTTGTTTCCTGGGCACTCAAAGCATTTTACAGACATCTTACCACTTCACAAAGTACTGGCTTTAAAGCAAGTCATATGCATCCCTCCTCCCATCTCTTAAGGAAGATAAAGAAGTTCTTGGCCCCAAATGACCCAGAATGTTAAAGGTAGAATCAGCCTGCAAACTGCAGTTCTGCATTTCCATGGACTCTTTCCTTATAAAAGCGATTGCTATCACATAACCCTAACTACAGCTTCATTGCTTTCGCTCCTCTTTCCAGCTATCTGCCACCTTAATGTGCCACAATTTTCTCACTTTCAGTTTAAACCGAAGACTATTCCCTAGACTGGGAGTGAGCTTCAGATATAAGAAGAAAATCCAGAAACTGGTGGTAATCCATTTCATTTTTTCTTCACTTCAACGTCCTCTCTTTTTCTCTGCTAAGATTTAAACGGTGAGGGCTGGTAATAAAACTAACTGCTAGCCAGATGCCGTATTCAGAAGGATGGTGAAAGGGACAGTAACTAACTCACTGCTGCAGTTTTGTTTTCTTCCCCGCACCGTGTCTCTACTTCCACCCTCCTCCAAAACAAGAGTCCACCTGAACTCTGTCCTGACAGTGTGTCCTTCAGAGTAGACCGTTGCTTTCTCCAACACTGTTCTCAGGACTATCCAGTTCCATTTTTATGATAGAACTTAGTCTCTACAGATTCCATAAGGTTGGAACGAGGCTGTTTTTGTTGGGCAGCACAGTCACAAAAAGAAGGAAAATGCCACGGGCATGTTACTTAAGGAACTTTTGCCTTAACCAAAAGTATCCCTCACAGCACAGGCTGTGAGAACAAATGTCCAGAGCATGGCCCCAGCCTCTCAGGCACAAGGACCACAGGGCAGAGAAGGGTTCAGACTGTGACCTCAGCCTCTTAAAAAGGGGATGTCCTGGTACATCTGGGGACTGAGCAAGTGGACTATTTAAAACCTTAATTATTTCCCCTACCCCTAGTTTAGGGAAGGCAATGGCATATGCAACTCCTTTCAGCCCCCTAACTCCTGCTGAGTGCTCTAACTTACAGAGACGTTGTGTAAGGCTCCTGCCTTATCTAGGCAGAGCATATGGTGAGGTGGCCTTTCCAGTCGTTATCTGTGTGGGAGACCTGCTCTCTTAAGCAAACCGTGTTGAAAGGACTGCAACCCCAGACGCATCTGCCACGTGCAGGATTTCGATGTTTGTGTTGTCAGTGAGATGTCTCCTTGGTCAGCCAGCATTGTGTGTGACTTGGGAGAGAAGGGAGCCTGTGGCTGAGGTTGGCATGTGGTCTGTTTTTGTGTAGTGAATGGACCATGAGGTTACAGAACCTGGGCCAAGCGACAGGATATAGACAACCCATGACATTGTACAAATTCTAGAAAGCTCTGGGAGGGTGAATGGATGTGTTTATGCCTAAATTTGGCAACCTAGAGGGTGACGCAGAGCAGAGTCATTCAAGTTGGCATGACTGTCTTCTGCAGGCCGGTTCAAGTTTGGGGAGAGTGGGCTGCTCTAAAACATGGCGTTTGTGCCAGATGGATTTGAGGAGGTTTATGAGTGTGTTTCAAGTTTAGGGACAATTGTAGTTTTTAGAAGCTGTCACCCTTTTTCCAGCCACTGTCAGATTTTTGCTTGGATCCCTGCCCAGCCATAGCACTGAATGACCAAATTGGATCAGAGTTAGTACAGAGATTCAGGCTGTGTCTTACAGTTGCTGGATTGTTCTTCAGCCATTTTATCATTTCAATTAAACAGGTCAAGTTGGTTGACTTTTTTTTTTTTACTATTTATTTATTTATTTGGTTGCACAGGGTCTTAGTTGTGGCAGGCAGGCTCCCTAGTTGCAGCTCACGGGCTCCTTAGTTGCGGCTCGCCGGATCCTTAGTTGCAGCGTGTGGGCTCCTTAGTTGTGGCAGGCGGGCTCCTTAGTTTTGGCTTGCAGGCTTCTTAGTTGTGGCTCACCCGTTCCTTAGTTGCGGCACGCGGGCTCCTTAGTTGTGGCATGCGAATTCTTAGCTGCAGCATGCATGTGGGATCTAGTTCCCTGATCAGGGCTCGAGCCTGGGCCCCCTGCATTGGGAGCATTGGGTCTTAACCACTGTGCCACCAGGAAAGTCCCGCTGCCTTTTATTGATTTTTTGTTTTGTTTTTTTTTTACAGTGTGGAGTTGGAGAGCAGAAAGGTACTCCAAGGTTTGTTCCTGGGTGTGGGTTTGGGGGGCTTGGAACTACATTTGTTGAATCACAGTAAATGAAGTGGTATGCAACATCATGAATGAGGAACACTCTGTATTGCTATTTGGAAACTGGATATGAGGCTCCCAATCTCAAAATCAATGCAACTTTCTCCAGGGGTCAGCTATTCAGAAAATCTTGGCTTCAGCAGAAGGTCTAAGGTATATGGGCATTCAGGAGCATCTGACCAGTCTTCCAGACAGAAACATTTCCACTATCGTGACAAAGGGATGAGGGCAGTTTGGCTGGGTTGCGTTGTTCCCTGAAGTGTGTGGGTGGAATGGCTTCTGTAGTTAGAGGGCAGGGACCAGGCTGATTCATCTTTGCAACACCCTCACCTGGGAGCAGCAGCCAGTACCTTCCCCACCCTTCACCACCACCATCATCACTCCCTCCTCATCTCACTTGGTTCCTCTGAATCTGGATCCCATGATTGTGTCTCACTGGCATCCTCAATTCCCCTTCCTCCTTGCCCTTCTCACTGAACTAGCCTCATAATCCCTCAACATAGACCAATTACACATCTGCATTCTCACCTGCATTGTCCACTTTTTGGGGAAAAGATTGTTCAGTTGTGAAAATGGGTACCTCACAAAATACCAGGCAATGAACCTGCAGCATTATCTCATTTGCTACCTCTGCAGGACGGGAGTTATTATTATCCCCATTAACCAGATAAGAAAACTGAGGCTCGGTTAGTTCTTTTTCGATGGTAGATTTGAGGAGCATCTTGGGGAGATAGAATTATTTATGCCTTACTTATTTGTCAGCTAAGAATAGTTGCTGCTATTTTAATTTTATAATAAAATTATAAAATTTTTATAAATTTTATAAAAATTTTTTTGTTTTTTTGACGCCCCACCCATCTTGATTAAATTATCACTTTATTTGGTCAAGATTTTTTGGAGCCAATGAGAAGGATGACAGTAGAAACCAAAAGTGTTTGTTCTCCTTAAATCTCTGAAGGTGACAAAATCTGGAAGAGGAAATGAGGGTGATGTCCCAAGTTTCTGATTGAGCTCTAGGAATGAGGTGGCAGTTTTCTTTATATCATCTGTTATTATCATTGTCACTAGAATATAAAAGTCATTGAATCTTACTGTAAAAGTCATTGTATCTTAGTAACTCTTACTGAGTTAAGTTTTATCTTTAACCACTCAGCTCCAAGAGAATGCCAGAAGCTGTCTGCTAATTCTCTTCCATGTGTCTTCTACATATTGTACTTCTGGAGATGATGTTCAGGTTTTTTAAAGATACACTGCTTCTAAGTTGAGAAATGGGAGAGACCGTGTTCTGATGTATTCCTTGACTGATCTGTGAGCACCGCCTTCCCAAAGCCTTGCCAACTACTACATGGCTTGTCAGCAGTCCTTTGGGTGTTTCCCAAAGTTCGCTCCAATTCAGTAAGAGTCAGCAGTGAGGTGTAGCACACAACGGGGGCTTAGCAGGGAATGCAGAGATGGGTGGGTGATACGGTCCAAGTCTTCCTGACCCAAACTTGCTGTGACTGACTTTTAGCCAGTCCACTTCAGTGTCTTCACTAGCAGGCAGTGGACTTCTCTTGCTACTCAGAGTGGCCTGTGGCCCAGACCAGCATCATCAGCATCTCCCGGAAATACAGAGTGCCGCCCCCCCCGCCCCCCGCCCCGACCCGAGACCTTATCAATCAGAATCTGCACGTTAACAAGATTCCCAGGGCGTTCACATGCACATCAAAGTTTGAGAACTGGATTCTGAGATACACACTAACAACCGTCATTCTCCCCTTGCCCCAGGAACGAATAAAATAGTGAGGAGACTTGGGTTTGATGCCTGACTCTGAATATATTTCATCTCTGACTTGGGCAAGCTGCTTCCTCTGGAGCATCACTACATTGAGGTGTTTCTCCTGATTAAGGAGAATGGAGCTGAAACGCCCAACACCCACACAACTCTAACCCGACTTTTCTAACGGTAAAGTGAGAAACAAAAGCCAGGCCGCAAAGAGTGGAGCAGGGTCACTGTTTTTCACTTTATTTTAATTTATAGGAAAATTCTAATACAATTCTAGGTGGAACTTTTAAACGTTTTAAAAAAATTATTTGAAAAAAAAAGCATTTAAGTCAGATCCATTTGGCTTTCCTTGCAACCTTCCCAAGCTCTTTCCATTCCAAACTGCCATCCAGGCAGGGACCCTTCTCACCCCTTTTATTGGTTTTTAAATTTACAAAATCAACCGCGTTTCCAAATTGTTATTGACACAGTACAGAGCTGGGTAGGACTGTTTGTTTTATTTCATTCCTAAAATCATGTTTTTCTTTCAACATGGAAAATTGGCTAATCCAGCTAATACCTGCTCATTTTATTAGACTC